CTATATCTACCTAAAGAAACAAAAGACCTATACATAGAAAACTATAAAACACTGATGAAAGAAATCAAAGAGGACACAAACAGATGGAGAAATATACCGTGTTCATGGATTGGAAGAATCAATATTTTCCAAATGGCTACACTACCCAAAGCAATCCATAGATTCCATGCAATCCCTATCAAGCTACCAAAGGTATTTTTCACAGAACTAGAACAAATAATTTCACAATTTTTATGGAAATACAAAAAACCTTGAATAGCCAAAGCAATCTTGAGAAAGAAGAATGGAACTGGAGGAATCAACCTGCCTGATTTCAGACTATACTACAAAGCCACAGTCATCAAGACAATATAGTACGGGCACAAAGACAGACATATAGATCAATGGAACAGAATAGAAAGCCTGGCGATAAACCCATGAACCTATGGACACCTTATCTTCGACAAAGGAGGCAAGAATATACAATGGAAAAAAGACAACCTCTTTAACAAGTGGTGCTGGGAAAACTGCTCAACCACTTGTAAAACAATGAGACTAGAACACTTTCTAACACCATACACAAAAATAAACTCAAAATGGATTAAAGATCTAAATGTAAGACCAGAAACTATAAAACTTCTAGTTTCTAAACTTATTAAAAGGGGTATTATCTTGGCAAAGAGGTGTAAAGAAAACGTTCAGTTTTTACACACAGACCATGAATCAGTGAATTCAGTAGAATCTCACTCTGAAACGTGTATATTTATAGTAAAGGACAGAAGGATATTCAATCAGATTCTTGCTTACTACGCACCGAGTGTGTGTGTGCTCAGTCTCTTCAGTCCTGTTCTCTGTGACCCCATGGACTGTAGCCCTAGGCTCCTCTGTCCATGGGATTCTCCAGGCAAGAATACTGGAGTGGGTTGTCATACCCTCTTCCAGGGGCTCTTCCCCACCCAGGGATCAAACCTGTGTCTCCTGCACTGCAGGCAGATTCTTTAACTGCTGAGTTTCTGGGATGCACTGCATACCACAAGCCAAAATCCCTATTTCCATGCCAGTCTCTTCCAAATTCTAGACATATATCTAACTGCCTACTGGACATTTCCACCTGGATAAAGATAATAGTGTGGAAACTCACCCAAATGCACAAACCAACAAGGATAGCATACTTAGCAAATCCAAATAAATTATTCCCTAAGCCCCAGAAAGACAATCTAAATTGGAGGCAGACTGGGGAGAATACAGAATTTGATTGAGATAAATCTGAGAACACACAGTCTACCTCTTATTTATCTGTATAATCTTCCTCATTTGTAAAAATAACTGAGTTTGTATTTCTGAATGGGAAAGGGAGCAGTCTCTGGGCATTTTGCAAAAACCCTGAACCTGATCCCTCTACACTGCCTCACCAGAGGGGCTCCCACTCCCAGGCATTGTAGGCATCCTGCTTAGCACACAGCTCTCTCCAGGGTCCTGGACCCTCAATGCTTTGTGCTCTGGAGTTGGCAGGCTGGTAGCTTCTTGGACATGTGACAGGGATACAAGCCTTCTGTGTGAGCAGGGAAGTGGTGAGAGGCCTAGACAACCAGGCTCTGGATGTTGCTGACCCTCCACCATCAACACCTCCAAAACATCTTCACACCAACCCACAGCCTGACTGCCCTGACCCCTGGTACTGCAGTGCATAGGGGTGTTCATACAGGAGTGACACCTCTTTTCTCCTGAGCTGTAAGACCACAGGCCTTTAAAGCTCCCTTTACCTGGGGGCACCTGTACCTCTGGGCCTGGGCTGATGAAAACATCAGAAGCGCCGCACCAGCATACACAGACCTAAAGTCACCACAGAACCACCCAAGCAGGCCAGGGCACATCTGAGGCCCTTCTGGGAATCTGAGCAAGGTGAGTGGGAGAGGGATGGGTGAGGTCTTGTCTGAGGTCTAACTCCATTTCGGGATGGGGGAGGGGGTCTACTTCACTGGACTCTGACAGAAGGGGCAGGCCCTTCTGCTTCAGCCCCAAGTTACCTGGTTAGGCCCATGCCAGACACCTGTTTGCTCAATGAGTATCCCAACCAGTGTTTCCAGTTGGGAATCCTTGGGCTTTATCTCCTCCCCTATAGAAGGGAGGGAGAAGGAAGGAGAAGCAAAGTGCTCTGACCTGCAATGGGGACAGTCGTTGTCTTCCAGGTGTGCATGTCTAGGACAGTCTGGCCCTCAGCCTAGAAGAGTCTGGTGCCTGCTGCAGGCTGGAGCAGAGAAACCAATGTCAGACCACCCTGGAGAGGGGTGTGCCTTGGGGGAGCCCTTCCACATCCTGCCCAGGGGGCTAGATTCATCCTGTCCTATAGAACTGGTGAGTTGCTGGACTCTCATCTCACTCCAGCCAGAATCCAGCTGGACCAGCATCCATCAGGCTACCATAACCTTGAGGAATGATCTGGAGACATGAAGATCCTCCAAATGGCATCACACAGTGAAAAAATTAAAAGCAAAATTAAGGGCGCAGGACTGGCTTACCACTTTGAGATCTGATTACCAAAGAACTTTGAACTTATTTTTGATGTACTTTACTCATATTGTAAGGAAGTACTGCAAGGCATTACATAATGTCAGTCATAGAAAATACATCTTGCTGTTTTGTCACCTCTCTTAGGTTTTTATTTATTTATACATATTTATTCTGTATATGGTCTTGCTTTGCTGCAAAAAATCTAAACTTTTTGTTTATTTCTGTCTGTGCCATGCCACATGTGGGAACTTAGTTCTCCAACCAGGGATCAAATCCATGCCCCCTGCATTGGAAGCATGGAGGCTTAATTACTGGGCCACCAGGGAACCCCCCCCCAAATTAAATTTTATGTAGTAAAATTGATGGAGTTATTTTTAATTCCTTATTTAAAAATATGGTTGGACAAGGCTTTTCCCTGCATTGGAAGCATGGAGGCTTAATTACTGGGCCAACAGGGAACCCCCCCCAAATTAAATTTTATGTAGTAAAATTGATGGAGTTATTTTTAATTCCTTATTTAAAAATATGGTTGGACAAGGCTTTTACCTCTTTAGTTCCCTTATAATCATCTGTACTTCTATTTATGTCATAATTTATCCTTACTAAAACTAGGAATATATTGTATATAGCTAGCAGTGACTTTCTAGCTTGTGTGCTTATAAACAGAAAAGCAGATTTAGTGGGTCTGGGGTAGAGCCCAGGTCTCTGCTTATTTTACAGGAGAAACACTGACACCTGAAATATTTAAATTTTACTGTTGAGTTTGGGGAAACAATACCTCTCCCAGATTCCTTTGGAATTGCAAATTACACTTTCTAGAGATGTGAACACATTGAATCTTACGTAGTTCATCAGACAGACTGGGTTCATGATTGGGTTATAATTCTGAGAAATTATTAACCACTGTCTGTGTTTCTAAAGTGAATACAATCAATAACAAAATTTTAGGTTTTTACAAACAAGTTTAACACAGAAATCATAATATCTGATACAGACATATATAGTAATTTAATGACTTACAAAGTACTTTTGCATGTTTCTTGTTGGTGTGGGGTGGGGCAGATGGGTAATATCCTAGCTTGAGCTTAAGTCATAATTTCCTCTAACTTATACATGCTGAGCAAGTTAGAGGAACTGGTAAGGCAAGCCTGCCAGAAGCCTCTGGTAGAGAACTCACCCTAAGACAAGTATTTGGCAATTACAACCATAGTTATCCTTGGAGATTATCTGAGAGAGGGGGTTTCCAATTCTAGGCACATAGCATTGTGTCTGGCTCACAAATTTTTCTCCAAGCTCACGTGAACTCATGTTTGCATCTAGTGGAGAAAAGGGAGGCTTTCAGGAGAAAAATAAATAAGGACTATTTTGCTAAGAATTCTATAAGACTTAGAGGTCTTAAGCAGCACTGGGATGGTATCCACCTGGATAGGTGTAATATTAAAGCTAGAGAAGGGGCATCCTTCATATATCTGTTAAGAGACAGGGTTCAGTTTTGGTCCTGCAGCAGCTCCAGAGCAATCAGTAAAGCTTTGCACCTGGAGAACTCTGGCACCTCAGCCGTGATGGGGGCCACAGAAGGAGCAGGACCCAGGAGAAGGAGCAACTATAGCCAGCAGACATGGCAGTATCCAGGGAAAAGAACAGCAGGACAGGAGTAGTATGTAGCACTTACCTGGCATCACACAGGATTTGTGAGTGCAAACAAGACCTTTGGGTACTATCCCCACTATCTGAAGGGAATCTATAGGGGATGGGGTTCAGCCTGTGCCAGTAGGGGAAAAAATATAGCTCACATGACCTTTACCTCACTTGGTTCCACTGAGGCCCTATAATAAATAATTCATAAATAATAAATCATCTTATTCCTATTTAAGTAGGAAAACAATACCCTTAAACAAATGTGAGTACAGTACCTGGTTTACATTTCTGCCTAAGAGATTCAGAAAAAATGGGATTTACTTTTCTTTTTTAAAGTTCTGTAAAGTATTTATTAAGTGCCACATTATCTTTATAAGCTGACTGACAAATTTTTTCATTGCTTTACAATTTTTCCCATTGTACTGTCTTTTTTTTGTAACACGTAAAATGTGTTCATCTTGAGAAAATGAGAAATTCAGATGAAGCAAAAATGAAAAAACAAATCACCTGTTATCCTACCACACAGATAGTCACTGTTAAACCTCTGCAGTATATACTTTGAGTTTTTTCTTTGCATATTAATATATAAATATATACTTTTTACAAAAATGGGATACTACATATACTTTTTGAAAATTGCTTTTTTCCACTCCACAATATATACTGTGCATCTTTCCATGCAAATGGAGAAGACATGATTGAAAGAGGATGTCTTGCAGATGGGGGTGAGATGCAATTTTATGCCAGTTACAAGAGAAATACCTCAAAGCCACACAAAAAGTTCAGATTAGGAAGACGTTGTAAGGTATGTAAGAAAAAGCAAAGTTCAGGTGATAATACATCAGACAAAACAAAATTCAAGGCCGAACACATTAAATAGGATAAGGACGGTTCCGCCTGGCCTTCCAATGCATGATCATCAGTTTGTTTCGTACTCGCTTCATCTCTTCCATCTCCTCTGCTACCTTTATCATCTCCTCGTTGCTTAAATTTCTGCCGTGTATGTCCCCTCTAAATTGCGGGCGGGAGCCGGCCAGCCTTTCCTTAAAGCTTCCCTCTTCTAGCTTGTGTTTGCCCACTCCGCAAGGAGGCTGCTCCATGGGAGGGCGCGCCTCAAAAAGGTCCTTCCTCGACAGGCGCTCCTGAGGAGGGCGCTCCTCGGACTCGAGCATCTCGGGAAGGAGCTCAGGAAGGAGTTCCTCTGGAAAGAACTCCTCCTCCGAGGACGGCTCCTCCGAAGACTGCTCCTCCGGAGACGACTTTTCGGGAGACTGCTCCACAGAAGGCCGCTCTTCATCCGCCTTGGGCGAGCTCTGTGGCCGCTCCTCGGGCTCTTTGCAGGCATTTTCCATGTTCAGGATGGTCTTTTTTTAAGCACGGTGATACAGAGGAAACAAGAAAGGCTGAAGCGAGTCAGAATACGCGCTGCCTGGACTAAGACCCCGCCCACGAGTTCCAATACCTGCCTCTTCCCCAGTCTGGGCCCGGGTCCTTCAACCTACGCTGACGGGAGGGGCTCTCCAGCCCCCGGGATCCCGCCGCGTCTGGTTCCCCTCCCACCCCCCACCACCTTGTCGCCCCCTCCTTCCGAAAGCCCACCATTTTCCCGGCAGGCCTTGCCACACAGGCCTCTCCCGCAGGGACCGGGGCGGAGCGGGCCGGCGGTGCCGTGGACCCGGCTTCCTCCAGCAACCTCCCTCGCACCCCATCCCGGCCCGCTGCCCACCCCTTCCCCTACCTGGACCTCTCCCGGCAGCTGGTTCCGAGGCGGCCTCTCCTCCAGGTGCCCCGCTGTGACCTGCGGAGCTGCAGACAGACGCCGAGACAGGGTAGGGGGCAGGGAGGAGAGAAAGACTGACACACGCCCCTTTTCTGGGCACCGGCCGCCGCCCCCCTGTATTCCCCTGCCCCCCGCCCCGCTCCATCTCAAAGCTTCGTCCTCCCCCCCACCCCGCCCCTACCCAGTAACGCTCGTCATTTCTTTTCAGGCGGGAAGTGAAAGCGAAGGACTGCTTAGAAACTATTTCTAAGTGCCCATGTTGTCTTCCCGGGCCGGGGGATCCACTCACCTCCCGAGCCCACTCCCTAGACCACCATTTTTGGCACCGAAATGGGGGCGCGGGGGCGGGGTTTTGTAGGGAGAACGCCTGGACTCAGTGCCATCCCAATCCCAGAGGTTACTGGGCAGCACCAACACACCGATTTAAGAGGGCGAAGGGGACTTACTTTCTTCTGCTTTCCCCCTCGTCCAAAGGGCGATAGGCAGATGGTGTCTGGACAGGCAAAAAGGACCAGGACGAGAAGGACTTGGGCAGACACGGGCTCTGGTCACGTGAGGGCCGCGCGTCACCGCCGAGCTCAGATCCCCAGTTACCACTTTGACCGGCGGCCGTGCTGCCGCAACCAGCCGGTATTTCTTGACCCCCGACACACTAGACATGTCCCTCACCTCTCTTTTGTTTCTATATGCCTTTTCTTGGTTACCAGAGATGGTCAGCATCCAGTCTTGAGGGTTATTGCCTCTTCCTCTCTGTCTCTTCCCTTGATAACACCTCTCTCCCTCATTCTCCTGTCATCAGCTACCAAGGCCATTTTTTTCCCTTACAGTTTAGATCCTGCACTGAAATTGGACTGTTTCTCTTTAATGAGTCACTATCATATGCCACCTCTTCCAGTTTTAATCCACATCCATAACTCAATCATGTCCGTTTAGGTTCTATCAAAATGATTCTCATGTCTTGTCATTTTCGTGGACAATAAGCTTTCACTTTTCCGTGACTTCAGGATTTTTTGAGTCTCTAGACCTAAATCACAAACAGAAGCGCCAGTCTAAATTGGTAATTCAGTTCTAGAACTCTTGAATAAAGTAAAGTTTGTAAAGAACATGAATCTAAAAAGACTGAGTACTTTGATTTTCATAAATCGGAATGCACATTCGTGCATCTAAGTACAAATAGTTGGAAAACATTGTTTATCTGAAATGGGAGCATTTCTGATGGAGAACATGGCATTATTAATGGGCTTCCCTTGTAGCTCAGTCGGTAAATAATCTGCCTGCAGTGCAGGAGACATGGGTTTGGTCCCTGGGTTGGGAAGATCCCCTGGAGACGGAAATGGCAACCCACTCCAGTATCTTTGCCTGGAAAATCTCATGGACAGAGGAGCCTGGTGGGCTGCAGTCCATGGGGTCGCAAAGAGTCGGGCACGACTGAGCTGGACTAACACTATGGCCTTGCTATATATATATATGTATGTATTTGCATATTGTATATATGTACTCTACATATATATACAATTCAGTAATTATAATAGAAGAAAGAATTTACCCCCCCTCTCCGCTTTGAGCTGTAATCTGCCTTCCTGTAATTTACACACATTGGTCCTGGTCCTCCCTTCTGGAGTGTTACAAAAGAAGTGTGTGCGTGTGTGCTAAGCTGTTTCAGTCATGTCCATCTCTTTGCAACCCCATGGACTGTAGCCCACAAGGCTTCTCTGTCCACAGGATTTCCTAGGCAAGAATACTGGAGTGGGTTGCCATTCCCTCCTCCAGGGGGTCTTCCCCACCCAGGAATCTAACCTGAGTCTCTTACATCTCCTGTACTCGCAGGTGGGTTCTTTACCACTAGCGCCACCTGAGAAGCCCACAAAAGACATATAAAATAACAAAAGTGCCTTTTACCCTTGACAGCCTGACTCTGGCAAAGTTAACATTCTGCTTCTTTCCCCTGCCCACCTGTGAGACACTGTGCGATATTCTTGACTTTTTTTCTGTGACTCTACTTCCTCATCTGCAAAATTGGAGACAATTAGTACCTACCTCATAGGACTGGTAAGAGGAATCAATGAGTCAGTATATGTAAAGGACCTGGAGTAGTGCCCAGCAAATAGAAAGCACTTTATAAGTATTAACTGTAATAATAGTAACTAATGATAGTATGATAATACTACTAATTATCATCCTTTTTTTATTAACATTATTGAACATGTGTGCCATGCATTGCACTAAGCACTGTCACATATGCTATCTCATTTAATCTTTAAACAATTACGTTCCCACTGTTTGTTTTTTTGATTCAGTTTAATTTCCCAAGTTATTTTGGCTCATTCTAATGTGATATATTTGTTCAAAGTCACTCACCATTCTACATGCTCCTGAATTTATAAATGTCTGAAAATACTGAATATTCTTCCTGGTGTAGCATGGAGGTATTTGACCACATCCTTCGTTCTAGAATAGCTGAGATATATCTACAGATGCCGCCTAAGATTGTAGATTTCATGGATGCCATATCACACAGTTGAATCCACTTTAAGTTGCAGTCAGCTGAGAACCCCCCCAATCCCTGTTAATGCACTTCTGTAAATCAGTTTAGATTTTTTAAAAGAGATTATTTATTTACTTAGTTTTAACTGAGCTGGGTCTTCATTGTTGCACATGGGCTTTTTCTAGCTGCAGTGATTGCAGGCCATTCTTTGTTGCAGTGTGCAGGCTTCTTATTGTGGTGGCTTCTCTTGTTGTCAAGTGGAAGCTCTCGGCATGTGGGCTTCAGTAGTCATGGTGCACAGGCTTAGTTGCTCTGTGGCATGTGGAATCTTCCTGGACCAGGAATCAAACCCATGTCCCCTGCATTGGCAGGCAGATTCTTTATCCACTGTGCCACCAGGGAAGTCCATCAGTTTAGTTTTAACCCAAGTGCAGAGGCTTGTATTTTTCTGGGTTAAATGTTGTCTGTAAGATTCACTTCCTCATTCTTTGAATCCAGATTCAGTACATGAGCTACAAAATATTAGTTTATAGCACACTATTAGTACTAAATGGGATGATAACTTCAGCAAGCTCAGGAAAGATCTAAGGGAGATCCTCAGCAAAGAGCTCTGACTCCTAATGAAACAAATAAATTCCCTTTCCCTTTGGGTGTGGCAGCCAGGAGTATGCCCTGCCAGGCCAACCCCCCTCCTTTCCTTTCTTAGGGTGGATTTACCTTCTGCTGCTGTGACTCAGACAGTAAAGAATCCACCTGCAATGTGGGAGACCTGGGTTCAATCCCTGGGTCAGGAAGATCCCCTGGAGAAGGGAATGGCAACCCACTCTAGTATTCTTGCCTGGAGAGCTGATAGAAGCTAATGGTTGCCTCTGAAATCTTCCAAACCAATATAAATTAACCCTTAATGAGAACTTGATAAACATGGAGGGCAGACAGAGAGGTATGAGGAATTAGAACCAGAAAGAAATAATGAAGACAGTGTCTTTGTATTGGCTCTAAGTCTCTTCCTGACAGTAGATAATTTGGGATTCCTTTGAGAGCATAAAGTGAAGAGGGTTCTGCCATGGTGACAACCATTTGGTACAAAGGAATGTGGTCTGCTACTTGGCGCATATGAGAGGAGGGAAGGTGATGATGATGAAATAATTCTTCCCATGGATTTGATTTGATACTGCTGATTTAGGGTCCTGTGAGAGTTAGTCTAAGGAACTCCATTTTGAAAGTGAGATGCCTCAGGCTCTGGGAGGTTACAAATTGTTCCTGTGTTTTGTGACCACATGGCCTGTAGTCCTCCAGGCTCCTCTGTGCATGGGATTCTCCAGGCAAGAATACTGGAGTAGGTTGCCATTTCCTTCTCCAGGAGATCTTCCTGACCCAGGGACAGAACCTGTGTCTCCTGCATTGGCAGGTGAATTCTTTATCATTGAGCCACCAGGGAAGTCCAGTGAGGAGCAGAAATGGGTTTTAAACCCTGGTAATGTGATGAAAGTGAAAGAGGAGAGTGAAAAAGTTGGCTTAGAGCTTAACATTCAGAAAACTAAGATCATGGCATCTGGTCCCATCACCTCATGGGAAATATATGGGCAGACAGTGGAAACAGTGTCAGACTTTATTTTTTGGGGCTCCAAAATCACTGCAGATGGTGACTGCAGCCATGAAATTAAAAGACGCTTACTCATTGGAAGGAAAGTTATGACCAACCTAGATAGCATATTAAAAAGCAGAGACATTACTATGCCAACAAAGGTCCGTCTGGTCAAGGCTATGGTTTTTCCAGTGGTCATGTATGGATGTGAAAGTTGGACTGTGAAGAAAGCTGAGCACTGAAAAACTGATGCTTTTGAACTGTGGTGTTGGAGAAGATTCTTGAGAGTCCCTTGGACCTCAGGGAGATCCAACCAGTCCATCCTGAAGGAGATCAGTCCTGGGTGTTCATTGGAAGGACTGATGCTGAAGCTGAAACTCCAATACTTTGGCCACCTCATGCAAAGAGTTGACTCATTGGAAAAGACCCTGATGCTGAGAGGGATTGGGGGCAGGAGGAGAAGGGGACGACAGAGGATGAGATGGTTGGATGGCATCACCAACTCAATGGGCATGAGTTTGAGTGAACTCCGGGAGTTTGTGATGGACAGGGAGGCCTGGCGTGCTGCGATTCATGGGGTCGCAAAGAGTCGGGCACGACTGAGCTGAACTAACTAACTAATGTGACATGAGACACTGAACCTTTAACACTTTTGTAAAACTGCTACTGGGCAGTGGGCTGTAGCCATGCTTACCTGCAGTCAAGGTGGACAGCAGAGGCCTTTTCAGGGAGCAGGAGCTGAAGGTCCCAGAAGGCAGACAGGGCAGCCATGCAGGCCAAGGAGGAAGACTGTCAGCCCTTGCCAGCTGCTGCCACGACAACAGTCCCCAGGGGTGTGGCCTTTCTCTGGGAGCTCTGAGGAAGCCCAAGATAGGTCCCTGGTTTAGGGATCCCTGCTCCCTCGTGAGACTGCACTTGTGTGGCAGATACAGAGTCCCCCCCGCCCTTGCCTACGGAGCCCCTCTCCAGCACAGACTCCATGGAGGTCTGGTTTGCCTTTGCAGGGCCCATCTGTCTGGAGATGGACTTGAAGAATTCTGCTCTCTCCAGCCCAGAGGTTCCCCCTGCTGCTACCGCCTATTCATTCTTTCCTAATGACACCCATGTCAGTACTTGGATCTCAAGACTTTCTGCCTGGAACTGTAGCAGGCCCATTCAGCCTGGGGCTCCCAGGCCTGCCTCCCCCACCCCCGCCCCAGGGGGAATAGCCAGGTGGGAAATGCAGTGACAGGAGCCCCTCTCTTCTGCTTCTGGCCTCATCCTAACTGAACCGGGACACACGTACACACACATGCACACACACACACACTGCAGATGTCCAGAGAAATGAGGAAGGGACACACATACACACATGCACACACCCCTACAGATGCCCAGAGAAAGAAGGAAGGGACTCTGAGGACAAAGGTGGGGGGATACCTCAGTTTTCTGGGAGATACTCAAGGGGAGGGAAGGCAGGTGCAGACCTGGACTGAAGGATGCAGTAGCGGGCTCTTGGCTGGGCAGGGCTTGGGCTGTCACTGGCTGGAGGGCTGTGGAGGCTGGGTGCCTTCTACCCTTCTCCATGCCTTTGTGTCCTCCTCCTTCTCCCTGAAAGGTGGGCTCAGGGGCTGTGGTAGAACAATGAACAAGATCCCTTCCAGATCCAGG